TCCAGATGCAGGTTGCGAACGACGTTGCTTCCGCGAACGAGCTCCCAAGTTGTGAAGCCCGCCCAGGCCGGCGCGTTAACAATTCCGCCGCCGGAAAGCTGCAGGGCGGCGAGCTCCGCGAGGATTGCGTCAAGGGCGCTCTGGAGCGTGGTCTCGCAGGCTGAGAGCGCGGCGTTCGTGGCGTACGAGGCCAGCAGCGTCGTGTCGGCCTTGGCCCCCTGGAGCGCCGAGATGCTGGCATCCCAGCTAGCAAGCTGCGCTGTGACGAAGGTCTTGGTGGCGAGACCCAGCAGGGCATTTGCTATCTTGGTGTCTTTGGTGTCTACCTCCAGCGGCGTGTCCAACCCGTCCACCGTGGAGAGCAGGGCGGCCAGTGCGCTCGTCCGCCTTGCCGGCAAGGGCGGCGTCGAGGGGTGGAAATGGCTTTGCTCTGTCCTTTGCCAGCTCCAAAGCCGTCTTCGACTCTGTCCTGGGCCAGCTTAAAGCCGCTGCTTCTTTTCTTCTCCAAACCCCAAATCCGGGCTTGGCCGCCACTGATAAATTGTTCTTTTATGCAAGAAATGTAAAGATCTTGTCATTTTGCTCCTTTCTGCTGCTGCTAAACAGGCTCCAAATGTAAAGATCTGGTCATTTAGCTCCTCTCTGGGCGTGGCCAACTGATAAACTGTTCATATGGCGCATTGCTGCTATCTTAGAGCCCACCTCCGAGGAAGTGTCGACGGCCGACTGCAGGGCGTACGCGTGGAGGCCTGCAGCCCCGAGACGCCTCGACTTGCGAGCTCAGAGGCCAGCGCTGCGGCGGTGACGACGCCCAGGAGAGCGGGCCACCTTGGTGTCGACCTCCAGCGGCGTGATCCTTGCTGCGATGTCGGGGGAGTGCTGGCCCACCACCCAGCGTGGCGTTGTTGGCCGAGGCGATGGAGCCGTTCATGGCTGCCGTGGTGCTGTAGTCCACGCTGTCGGGGGTGCTCTTCGTGGCCACCACGCCCTCCAGCACGTCGAAGGCCGACTGGGCCGCCTGCCCGTCCGTGGTGGCCAGGGCTGCTGCCGTGGCCAGAGGGTCGTTCAGGGACTGGATGGCGGCTGCGTTGTTGCTGGAGGCTGCCGTGTTCACGGCCAGGTCTGCCACTTGTGCGTAGGGCGTCAGAGCCAGGGCCAGCTGCCCTGCGGTGACGTGCGTGCCGTCAGTTACCTCTCCGTTGTCCAGGACCTCCAGGATGTTGCCCGTGACAGGTCCTTCAAACATGTTTTCTTAGGAGTGAGGAAAGCGCACTTGTAGCGCCCTTGTAATTTCGCAACAACCCTTGAGTCGCTTAAGCCGCTTCGGACCAGGAAGTGTACATGAATTGAGGGAAAATATCCTTCAATTCAAGTTCCCTGGTCCAGGTCGTGATACCACCCCTGACCTGCGCACGACGCTCGAAAATTTCGGGACAAATCGCCGAAAATTTTGTCCAGGTTTGCAGAAGGAGGAGGCCCGGGTCTTCGAGTGGTGGGTCCTTGCTATATCCAACCATGCGTTGTAAGCAAAGTCGGAATTCCGAGCTCGGTGGAAAGAATTCCGGCCTTGCTTTTAGACCGAAGCCGCGGAGCCGGCCTTGCTTTGCAGCTTGGAAGATTACGAAAGCTTGTGTCACGGGGTGACACGGACCGTGGGACACCTCGAATCGCGGTAGGTTCGGCGGGCTGCTAAAAGCGCCCCGGTGACAAGCGGTGACAAGCTCGGCGGGCTGCTTTTTCCAGCAAAAGAAGCTCCCTTGTCTCAGTGGTTAAGCACAGTCTCTGCACCACCCTAGTCTGGGGCTCGAATCCCGCCTGCGACCGGGCAACCTTTGCCCATTAATGAACCAATATTGTTTCAAGCCGATTCAATATTGACTCAAACTTGCCAAGATTTCAAGCCCTGGAAGTCCCTCTGGACGTTCGGCAGGTTGGCGTGTTAGACCCGCTGACAAAGACGGTGACAAGTTCGGCAGGTTGTCGGGTCATGAGCGAGGACCTCGGCAGGCTGCCGTGCTTAGGCGAAAAACGGAAAATCGTGTGAAGAACAAAGTCTTCGGGAGGTCGGGAAGTTGGCCGTTTTTGCGCACTTTTTCGGCCCAAAAGAGAGCGGTGGCGTAGCGGTGACAAGCGGTGCAAAGTTCAGCGGGATGGAACTTGCCAGCTTTCCGGGGCAGAAAACGGGAATCAAGAGCAGCGTGCGCGTCTGGAGCCTGTTTTCGGCGAAAACGAGCAAATCTGGAGGCTGAGGCACCCGTCTGACAGGAAAAAACAAGCTTTTCGGGAATTCGGGAAGTTTTTTCCGGCCCAAAACGGAGCGGTGACATCGACCGGTGACATCGGAAAAACGTTCAGCAGGATGGAGAATTTTGCTGTTTTTCAGGGTTTTTCGACCCAAAACCGAAAATTAATTGGTCCCTATAGGCCGATGTTCCTTACTACTCATGATTGAGGCAAGAGTCGCCTCTTTACAGTTACGCGCTTTGCCCTCCGCATGGCAGCGCTTAACCGAGCCGCACAGGACGAGCTGTGCCCTGCACGCACGCCTTTGTCCTTTTTCCGGGGTTGCCTTTGGGAAGCACTGAAATGGGAACACGCGGTCGTCGGGGTTATTGTTGATTTGAGGCTAGGAGCAGTGCGCGGGACCTTTAACACATTCAAATGCATCCTATGCGGTCACCATCTCTCAAGTGGATACAGACACGGTGAAACACTGCGGTTTTGACTTTGGCCATGGAGACGATGAAGGTCGTCCTTGCAATCCCGGAATGGCCAAGGCCTTGGTGACATGTTCTTCCAGTGCTTTGGTTTGCGGGTTGCGGGGCCAGGACAAAGTCTCCAGTCGTGCCAGGGGCTTCTTCAGCAGCTATCTTCTTTGTCAGTAGCTTTGCAGGGCCGCGGGGAATGCCATCTTGCAATCTTCTCCATGATTGGATGTTGCGGGCTGGCGCGCAAGCGAGTCCGGCATGCCACAGTGCCTTGTCACCTCACTCAACAGTTGTGAATCTAGGCTTTCAGCTTGTTGAGCCGCCGCGAGTGTTTTCTTTTTTATTGCGTCCATGGGTTCTTCTTTGCGATGTTTGTTGCCGCCCTTTGTTTATCCAGCTTAGGGAGACGGGGACTGAGCCTGCATGGGCTTCATTTTTGTGTGATGTATATTTTGCTGCTGAGACATGCTCTTTGCGGGTATGGCTTTGTTGATGATCCATATCGCTTGAAGATATATTGCGCATGGTTTTACTGAGTTTGCTTTGCGATGACCTTTTTGTTTTTTGGATTTATGCTGGTTTCTGGGCTGCGCATGGCGCTATTGACGTGTACTTTTTGTTGGACATGATGCTGCGACTGATCGACTTTCTGGTATTGGCAGATTCACTACTTACCACCTTGCTTGGGCATACTTGTGATTTCCGGCTTGCACCCTTTGTGGGTACAAACTATTTTCAGTATTACGACATGTGGGAAAACTTTGCGGCCTCTCCTGTGTCAAGCATTTGGATGCGGGCAGAGTACCTGGTCTTGACGTTGCATGTCTTGTTTTCGCCTTAGGGCGGCTGGCATCGATTGGTTGGCTGCCCGTTTTTGTTTGCATTGTTACTTCCTGCCTTTCCCAGCCGGTTCGTTGCAAATTCATTGCATCGTGGGGTTCCCTCACCTTTTTGCTTACAACGCGTTTCGTTGATCTTTTCCTGAACTCTTACTGACCGGCGACTATGCTTCAGGCAGCCCGCGGTACCTAATTCAGATGGAATGAGAAGGCTCAGGGTCCATGCCGAGGATCTGCCTGCCAAAAACCCTGAAAGGGTCCCTCCATCAGCTTCAAAACCTCCAACACCTGGCCGTCTCGAAGGCTTCTCCATGGCTGTAGAACAGCCTGCAGCAACGTCGTTCCTCGGCTGCAGGAAGACCTCCATGGCACTGATTTTCAAGTTTTCGATCCCCTGCAAGCGATTGCTCAGCATCGCCTGGTTGTCCGCCTAGTTAGTGAGACATCCGGAGCTGCGAACACCCGTTGCGAAGGTGACACGCCGGTTTGCCGCGCAAGTCGGTGTTCAACTTGGTGGTCTCAGTGGTTTTGATCTTTGTGAGAATATGTCCTTGATTGAGTGAATATGTTTGGAAATGCTGCGTGCTAAAGCCTCACAGTCAGGGCGCTTGCCAGACCATTGTACCACAGCTTTGTTGAGAAGAGTGGAGATCCACGTCTGACCTGCATGACATGCAAAGCATTGCGCTGGGTGCCCACGGAACACATGCTTGCGGACGTCTGCACGAAGTAGAATAACAAGCTTCGCGAAGACATCCGTGAGTAGCTCAGCCAACAGAGTCCAACAGAGAGTTTGAGCGTGGACATAAGCATCTCTCTTGAGACTGAAAAAGGACAGCCGGCAGAGGATGCTTAGGTGCAGGCTCCTTGCACCACATGTTTAAATTTCTTACATTTTGATGTGAACACATATCATACCGTGACCGGCCATTCCTTCTGTTTTTATTCACGTTGAGCGCGTGCCCTTCAACGCAACAGATTTTGACACATTCCAGTACCTTCAGTCGATCTACTAGGGTTCTCGGTGCACGCAGCTTGTTTTGCAAGAAAATATGTCAACTTTTAATGCCATGTTCAGAATGAGGGTGATATGTCGATGTCAGGGTCATGCTGCGACCACGTGCGCAATTGATTCCGTGTTGCAGGTTGGATTGGTCAGATGTACACCGCAGTTTGGAAAGGGACTGATGGTTTAAAATGCAACCTTGATCAGACAATTGTTGACTTTGCATTCTTTGGTCAACCCTTTTCACAACAAACAGTTATTGGTTGTCCGCTTTGTGCGCACTTTCGGCTATAGCCTCAGGGCCAAACTCGAACCACAATCCGTGGAATTGCGGCGATACCTGATCAAGAGTTGACTAAGCCAACACTTTGCCGCATGATTCGACAAATCATGGCGATTCGTGTTGTTTTCTGTCGGAAAACATTTTTTGGTTGGCACTACATGTGGAGATGGATGGCAAAATTCAAGACACTCAATTCTTGTTTCTTTGCTTGCATGGTTCCTGGACCCATAGTGTTTGCCCGCACCTTATGCAATCCAGTAAGATGTGCTTTGTGTCTGCGGGTTGAAAGGCGCACACCTGGGCTCATGACCGTGACGCGCACTCAGAGGCAAAACATGCCCCGCGCGCCCTGCCGGGTTGTGTCAGTGGACATGGGTTTGGGCTGTTTGGGTGTGAAATGGCAGGGGTTCGGCCTTAGTGGCGCTGGATGACGGAGAATTGGGCGATCTTGAGGCTTATCGTGCTTTTGGACTGTTTTTGCTGGAATGTGCAGTTTTAACGAGCTGCAATGTCGTTTTGTTTGCTACTTGGAAGCATGACCATGCTCCTTCTATTTGTTTGGAAGGTGGAGGAGAGACACAGAGTCGAGGCAGCGGATTGCGTTTCATTTAAGAATGCAACCAGGTGAGCATGTCACACAAATGCTGTCATTTGTTTGGAGGAGCTCAGCCGTCAGATTGCGCAGCTTCGAAACAGGTCTGCAATGCACAAGTTGCATTTTGCTAAGACACCAGACTGCCAGGCTTGTCAGCCACGAGCAACGACGATGTTGGCGCTGAACTCAGTTGCGCATTTGCTTCACTTGGGGCAAATCGTCAAGAGGGATGTTTGCTTCGGCTGCGTGGCAAGGCTTCGGCGGGAACTGCTGCGGCGGCGCTTCTCCTCGTCGCCGTTGGGTCAGCTCATGGCCAGCATGGTGGCGGCCTGAGATTTGTGTGCCACGCCGCACCTAGCAATGAGCAGGTGCCGCAATTCCTGGCAGCTGCAGACGTACTGCGTGGTGCTTGCTGCCAAGAGGTGGTGCTGCAGTCTTGTTGAACAAAGGCGTTGGCTGGCAGCTTCTCCAGCAGCATCTGCGCAGCTTTGTGCTTGCCTTAGGAATTTGTATATGAGGATGGCATGATGCCCCTATCAGCGAAGCAAACAGTTTGTTTTTAGGCACCAAGTCCGAGTTTTCAAAGGATGAGGCCGGTTTTGTGCTTTGTGTTGTTACGCCGCTGGATGGCGTGTATTTGTGGTTGTATCAGCCCGACTCAGGGCAAGGCAAGCATTCAGCAGTAGCCATAGCTCAGTGCAAACATGAGTGGCAGAGTGCCAGATGTGAAGCCACAGCCCTGACCCAGGCTATATCATTTGCGGGATCTGAAGCCAGACTTGTCAACCACTGCAGCTGAGGCACATTCATGTTTCAACGGTGTGAGAAATCAGCCTCCAGAATGCGAGATTCTTGTACCGTCGAGGCTGTGGCAGCTTCTGTGTATTGGCCGACCGTTGAAAGCCTAATCATGGACGCTCGTTCGGCATCAAAGTAAAGATCTGGAGAAGAGTTTACATGCAGGTAGCTTTTCGCTGTATTTTTGTTTCAAGCCAACGTGAATACGCTAGCACCTAGACAGCATGAGATGTCTCTCAGGATATGGGCAAACACACTTGGTCGCGCCTTCTGCAGGCAAGAGAGGAAGAGACTCACAATTTGCAGTCTGCTCGGTCTGCTTGTGGCGTAGGCGCTTGGGCAGCAAAGCCAAGCCAATTCTGCTCAGTGGCTTCCTCAGCCTGTACTCTGCTGCAAGCTGGTTGTGAGTCTGCATCGCAGCAGTCGTCTCATTTTCATGAAGTTCGACACTTGTAGGCTTCGCAGACTACAATCCGTGGCTATAAGCTTTCCAGCTGACTCCAGGATGCAAGTAGCAGGAATGTGTCTGGGTTTTATCAACCTCATGGTTCTTCAAGTAAGGAGCGATCTGTAGCATCCTTGCAGCTGTGCCCGCCTCAGCTGGTATGTTTGCTTGCTTGGATAGACGTGAGATGCAGACACCGTGCTTCCGTTCAAAGATGTCGAGGTGGCACCAGCATGCCGCTCCTCAGCTATCCCTGCTGTCAAAGCTGCTTGTTCAAGCACCATTGCAGGACAAGTTATGATTCCATGAATGATGTCAGCTGTTAATTTTCTATCATGCATGAGCTTGACACGAAGTTCATACATGTTGGAGTGATTTTGAGCTGAGATGGGTCGGTCCATTGGCATCATCATATCTGTTTGTAGCATCCTCACGTGTTGGTTGTGAGGAGCTTGTCTTGGTCGACTTGCGATCTACAGAGGCCAGACTGTCAGAATGCAAATTGCCCCATTTAAACGGTGTTGACCTTGCACACCACCTTGTGCCTGGAAGGTACTGACTGCCATCTTCGCGGGACCCTGCACACACTTGTGCCTGCCCCAGACTGTATTGTGCCTGTTCATGTGGCCGCATGCCCACGAAACAGGGACACAGACAGACACACAGACACGCAGACACACAGACACTCAGACACGCAGACACGCAGACACACAGACACGCAGACACGCAGACACACAGACACACAGACACGCAGACACGCAGACACTCAGACACGCAGACACGCAGACACGCAGACACGCAGACACACAGACACGCAGACACGCAGACACGCAGACACGCAGACACGCAGACACGCAGACACGCAGACACGCACGCAGACACGCAGACACGCAGACACGCAGACACGCAGACACGCAGACACGCAGACACGCAGACACGCAGACACACAAGCAGACACGCAGACACGCAGACACGCAGACACGCAGACACGCAGACACGCAGACACGCAGACACGCAGACACGCAGACACGCAGACACGCAGACACGCAGACACGCAGACACGCAGTCACGCAGACACGCAGACCACCCGACACAACAGGCAAGAACTCATGACCAACGCAGACACGCAGACACGCAGACACGCAGACACGCAGACACGCGGACACGCAGACACGCAGACACGCAGACACGCAGACACGCAGACACGCAGACACGCAGACACGCAGACACGCAGCCACGCAGACACGCAGACACGCAGACACGCAGACACGCAGACACGCAGACACGCAGACACGCAGACACGCAGACACGCAGACACGCAGACACGCAGGCACGCAGACACGCAGACACGCAGACACGCAGACACGCAGACACGCAGACACGCAGACACGCAGACACGCAGACACGCAGACACGCAGAAACGCAGACACGCAGACACGCAGACACGCAGACACGCAGACACGCAGACACGCAGACACGCAGACACGCAGACACGCAGACACGCAGACACGCAGACACGCAGACACGCAGACACGCAGACACGCAGACACGCAGACACCCAGACACCCAGACACCCAGACACGCAGACACACAGACACGCAGACACGCAGACACGCAGACACGCAGACACGCAGACACACAGACACACAGACACACAGACACACAGACACACAGACACACAGACACACAGACA